GTGCGGGGGGCACGGCGGTCACCTCGAGGCCGCGCTCCTTCAGTATGTCTAATTTCTTCTTCTTGATCTCCTGCGGGCTCTCGGGGTATTCATCCAGGTCTATTATTTCTGGAGTTTTTGGCTTGTAGGGTACCTGAGAGAAAAATATGTTATGAAACAATAGCTATTGAAAATGAATAGTTATCTCTTTCTCTCTTATAGTTAATGATATCTTTCGTCTCTCTCTTGTAACGAAATGTGACAAAACTCGTAACTATATCCTCACCTCTACAATTTCATCATCGCTGTGGCTGGCTGCGGTGGTATTGGTGGCAGTGGCAGCGGGTGGTGTGTGCGGATGATGGATGCCAAAGTTATTGACCGCAGGTTGTGGGGATGACGAGTCCGCTCCTAATGGCGGGACAGACGCTGAAATTATAAAAAAAAACCTTTAATATAATTCTATCTCGTATCAAACTTGTTAGGAATAAATTATTTAATAAGATTTTCCTTTAATCCAAATAAAGTTAACATTTAAAATATGTTTTTTTAAACATTTTTTTTTAATTTGCAATATTTGACCTTGTAATGCATGTATGAGTTTGTATGACATACCGGTGTTATGTGTCGGAGGACGCGCAGGCTTCACTCTCACAGCACGCAGAGAACTGCGCCCTAAGGGTCTGCCAGTCCTCTGTAATAAATACGTATCATCAAAAAAAAATCACAAAATATCACACCTAGGAGATACTAAAATAATCACATTTTATATCATAAGGTGGCAAATGAGCGAGCCACTGAAATCGCTGAAATAGCGAAGTGACCGTTGCCTATAGACATACGCAATTGCATATGCGTTGCCTACCTTTAATCGACGGAGGAAAAGATGCACAAAAAGAAAATATTTTCCCTTCCCATGTATCCTCTCATCCGGAAAGTCCACTTCCACTTCCCATCCTTTCCTTATAAGAAAATTTATTTTATAACAAAATATTATGGGTATAACATTTTAAGGGTGAACGACCCCTATAACATATTTTAGAAAAATAATAAATATAAATTATTGAAATTAGAGCGTCGATGGCTCAGTGATCAACTTGACTTGCAATCTGCAGGTCCTGAGTTCGAATCCCGCCATGTACCAATGTGTTTTTCCATTTCCGATTTACATATGTACATTTATCCGATGTTACGGTGAAGGAATACATCGTGATGCTGCACATATCTGAGAAGAAATTCAAAGATATGTGTGAAGTCACTGCACTTGGTCAGCGTGGTTAACTATGACCTAATCACCCTTAATTTAGGGCAGGCTCCAAGCCCCTCAATGTGGACGTATAGTGAGCTGATGATGGCGATTGAACTTAACATAAAAAACAGTCACGGAGATATTTTAAGCTATTTTTTTAGCTGAAAATATGTCAAATTTTAGACTATAAAATTAGACAAAAAAAATCACACTTAATACCACATATGTGAAACATTACTCTATAAGACTAAAAACTTACCTGATCTGGTTGTGTTGCGTTGTGTGACTGTATGTGAGGGGATGATGTTGGGGGTTGATTTGTGAGGTTCGGGGGATGTCCGTTGATCACTTTCCTGTCACCGGCCAGCTGCTGCAGCAATGCTGCGTCAGCGCTTGCTGCAACCCAGGTACGATAACATGATACATTGGTATAAATTATATTGTTTAAATATATTAGTCGCCTGCGACTTTGTCTGCACGAAATTTAAACCTATGTGTTCTTCCAGACTATGTTCTATATGTATGTCAAATTTCTGTGATTTCCATGAAGCTGTTCTGGATATAACTTCTAACAAACATACATCCAAACATTCGCATTTATAATATTAATAAGATAAAAAACTTACCCAAACTATATTTCTGCGTTAATTCATTAATAAACAATCCATCTCTTTTCTCATTAATTTCTATTAATTTCTCCACAGGTTTTACGGAGATTTTCATACAAGATTTATCATCTTTCGAATATTCTTTGAGAGAATCTAGGAATTCTCTATTTAATTCTTCTGCAGGCTTCGAAGTGACATTCAAATCTTCCGTTTTAACAACTTCTCCTGTCTCATTATCTAGGAGAACTCTCTCTTTTTTCGGAGATGGAGTTCTCAATCTCTTTTGTGGTATATCTTTCATTGAATCTAGTTCTCTTAGAGGTGAGTCTTTTAGTTCAATAGTATCTTTTGAATCGTTATGACCGTTTATCTTTTGGAATTTAGAGCCGTTTTTCCTTTCGTGATTTTCAAAAGATAGTAGGAACCTGAAGGAAATTTTATTTTAAATATAATTGTTAAGGATGTAGTCAGACGATGATCTACGCTAACACTTAGAGGGGGTCAGTAGTAAAAATATTTTTATATAATAACTTTAGCTGCTTATGTAATTAGACTAATTTAAATTTGTACCTATTTTTGGCTCTCGGAAAATTATGTTTTTTTAAGTAAAATTGTCTCATTTAATATTTTTTTTTTAATTTTACGATTGAAATTCGATTAATTAAACGTTGGTGTCTCAGAGGTTAAGCACTTGACTTGTTTACAGGTGCTGGGTTCAAATCCCGACATGTACTAGTGTTTTTCTATACATAAGTACATTTATCTAACGTTACTGTTAAGGAAAACGTCATGATGCTGCACATATCTGTGAAGTTCAAAGTAAGTGTGAAGTGCACTGGGTCAGCATTGACTATGACCTAGTTAACTTAGGATAGACTATCCTCAGTGGGGATGTATAGTGAGCTGATGATGTTAGTGTATGTATGTCTGACCTTTCATAGTGCCTGCGTGCGCGCGCTGGCTGGTCAGGACTAAGTGCCCGCCAGAGTCGAGCACGACACACCGCCTCGTACCCGCCGCGCATTGTCACGCCCTTGTACAGCGCGCGCAGTGATACTGCATTTTAAATATAAAGACGAAAATTGATAAACGAGAAACTTCTAGAACTAATAGTTACTGTAGAATCAGTTAAAGAGAAATTGGATAAGTAAGAGTTATTATCCGGTCCTGAACGGACACCCTTCATAAATGAGAAACTCAAGTAAGAGAGAAACCTTTATAAATGAGAGTCACTTTCCAGTTCCAGGCTGACGACCTTGTAAGAAACTCAAGTTAGAGAGACCTCTATAAGCGAGAGTCATTATATAGTCAAGAAACTCGACTTCTCTAACCTAAGTTTCTCGCTCTCAGACACCAATAGAAACAGCAAGAAAAAAATCTAAACTCTTGCTTATCTGGCTTAAACTTGTCAAAATACTGTTTTGGTTCTTAATATTTGGTTTGGTTGATTTATTCAATGAAGCTATAAAAAAATGAAATATATAAAGCTATGAAAAATAGAAAATGGACGATGACATATTTATTCCGTCCCTTAAATACATATATGATTTGATATAATTAAACTACTAACATTTAACCAAAAAATTAATCGACATCACAGGGGACCGAAGAGCTGGCAGCTACCTCGGTCAAAGAATTAGTTTAGCTGTACAGAGGGGGAACGCTGCCAGTATCTTCGGGACCTTGCCTAAAGGGACTCCTTTTATTAACATATTTTAGTTAATTATTCGTTTTTTTTTAAATATTTTATTTTATATCATAGATATAAGACTTTATGTAATTATAGAAATAAGGATGTATAATAAATTTATTCGCATTTAACTACTAGAATAGAATACTGTAATAAAATCATATCAAGACAGGGCCGGCGTTAGGATAGGGCGTGGTTGGGCGTCAGCCCAAGGCGTTACAACTAAGGCCACACCAAATTACATAGCCCCAGGTACACACCATCCCTAAGTCATGATAAAAATGAAAACCATAATATTTTTTTTACAATAAAAATATAAATTTTGACCATAAAATAATGATAGAAGTACTCACAATGCTTCATAGAATTGAAGTCTTCATTCCTCTCTTTATGGAACTTGCTCAGCTCCTGCAGGAACTCTTTGTCTTCCTGACTCTGTCCTTCACCCTGGCCTTCACTCTCCTCATCACTTCTCCGCTCAGACCCACCATTACGTAATGACAGACGACGTGGTGTCGGCTGCAAGAATATACTATCTTACTAATATTATAAATGCCAATATTTAGATGTTAGTTAGAAGGTATCTCTAGATCAGCTTAATGGATCTTGTTGAAATTTGGCATACATATAGAACATAGTCTGGAAGAACACAGGCTAATAAAGGTTTTTTTTATTCCGCATGGACGGATATAAATAAGTATCATCGTAATACTTTCTTTATTGGTCAAGAATTTATTTCACAGTCATCATCAGCTAACTATACGTCCCCACCGAGGGGCTCGGAGCCTACCCTAAGTTAAGGGTGATTAGGTCATAGTCAACCACGCTGGCCAAGTGCAATGACTTCACACATATCATTGAATTTCTTCTCAGATATGTGCAGCATCACGATGTTTTCCTTCACCGTAAGAACGTCGGATAAATTTACATATGTAAATCAGAAATGGAAAAACACATCGGTACATGGCGGGATTCGAACCCAGGACCTGCAGATTGCGAGTCAAGCGTTAGACCACTGAGCCACCGACGCTCCTTCAATAGCTATGATTTGTTAAAAAGTCACGGTATAAAAAGATACACGTAAAAGCTAAAATGTATATGAAAGATTGTCCAATATTTTAAATTAGTTAAACTACTACTCACCGGGTGTTCCCTCGGCATGATAGCATCAGGATCGTCGCTATCGGAGCGCGAGGCTGAGCGGGAGCGAGCTCGGCGCCGGCGACCGCGCGGTCTACCCTTCAGTCGGGGCGCGAGATGGTTACATACAAATTCATGACCTTCTAGTTCCGGATACTCGAATGTTTCCTGGAAAGTAATAATAATATTTATAAATAAGCTAAACGAACACAAAAAGAGAAATTGAAAAATCTATATATATTATAAATTAATCTAAATAAGCGAGAAACCTCTATAAGCGAGACAAATCTAAGTGCTTATATCTCGCGTGTTGGTTCAATTATTTATAAAAGTTTCGAGGCTTAATTATTTTTTCTTATAATAAATTGGAAAACAAACAAGCACATGGATAGAGAAGAAAGTACATTCAAGAACAGGTTTCATCCTCTTTGTATACGACCTCTCTAAGTTTCCACTCTTCTCGTACAACTAAATAAGCGAGAGTCCAAGACACCGGGATACTTGTCGCTTATGAAAGTTTTTTTAATTAGTAGATTTTTGTTAATTTACTAAATTTTTTTGTAACATTCCAACTAAGCTCTATTTCTAATTACGGAATTCGAAGCAAAGACCACCAGTGTCTCTTTAACTCGAGTTTCTCGCTTGTGAAGGTAGTCCACCGGGACTGGACAATATTTCTCGCTTATAAAGATAATAATTAGAAGGAAATTGTAAGTGTACACGCAAGTTTTCAGCTGATGAGTCTATCAAAGACATGTTCTATTCCACTTACCTTGCAGTACAATATCCTAGTATTCTTGGTAGATGCTGCATAACCACCTAATGCTGCGACTAGAGAATCCCGCAACCAGTCTGCCTGGATACCATCAAGTCGGGCAAGTAATGCCCGGTAACGACAATACCGGGGATATGAGAACACCATTACTCCGGGACTATCCGCGTCTATACCTGAAAACATAGACATAGTAACTCTAGATGGAACGTATCATACAATGTTTGAAGGTGTCCATTGGCTCTCACTGCAGCAGACACACGACTAGGAACAGATTGCTTGTTGATAAATGCCGTCTTAGCGTACAATGCGGATGGACGAAGTGCTACGTACAAAGCAAACTTCTTCTTCTTGAGGTGCCTCTCCGATTAGCGAAGGTTGGCGATCAGTTCTCCATATTTAAAGTATTTAAAGCAAACTAAAATCTGTTTTATCCGTGCGTCCGGTGCGTTCTAGTGAACGCGTAGCTTAAAAGTTCGTTCAATAGTGTGTAAATAAAAAATTGATATTTATCAGAGACAATATTGTTTTAATATCTACTAGCTGTCGGCCGTGAGTCTGAGCGGAATTAAAAAAACTTAGTAGCCTATTTATTCTTCCAGACTATGTTCAATATGTATGCCGAATTTCATCGAGATCTATGCAGCTGTTCTGGAGATACATTCTAACATCCATCCATCCAAATATTCGCATTTATAATATTCGTAAGAAGTAAATGGATCTTAGTATTTCGAAGTCTATGTCTATAATATTATAACATTTTATTATGTACAGTATATTTTACTTGAAGAGCCTAAAATAGTCTATTTATATTTTTCGATTCTCATAAGTGGAGGCCACCCATTCCCTTTACCTCCACCCTGGCAACGCCCATTACGACTCAGTAGAATTCTCATACACAGACTACGAGTTTAAAATCAAACTAATTAACCGTAATGTAATCAACGAATTTGATATCAAATCTTTACTCACTTATAGCATTCTTTTCTCTCTCCACATCACTGAAGTCAAGTTTGGTATGATGCAATGGTGCTGTGATGCTTGGATCAGCTGGTGGGGCGCAGGCTCCGCGCCACACAGCGCGCAGACCCCACCGCCAACCGGAACCCTCCGACACCCAGCTGAGGAGATCTTCAGCGCGTACCACCACTTTATCATTTATAGCTAGAACTTCGTCCTGGAAACAAAGAAAAGTAGACTTAAGTGAATACTGTCGTCATAAAACAAAGCTTAATTAGTAGGCTATGTGTTCTTCCAGACTATGTTCTATATGTATTTAAAATTGTATCGAGATCCGTTCAGCCATTCTGGAGATACGTTCTAACATACATCCATCCAAACATTCGCATTTATAATATTAGTAAGATATAGATAAAATATTGACTACGTTCAACTTAATACGTGTCAAAATGGAATATAAAAAAAAGGGATACATTCAAAATTACAATACAAACCTATTTATTTAATTAACGTTATGTTTAGAAAGTTAAATAATTAAATAATTCCGAAATAAATCCGTTCCGAGTACGGCCCGGCAGTGTGGGGTGAGTAGGGGGATGGTGCAGGGTCGGACTCTGAGTTAACATTTTAGAAAGTAGGTTATTGTGAAGAGATTTTCCTTTCAAAAATTCTTTTAATTCGTCATTTATTAAACATGTAATATTAATGAAAATTAAAACATAAACGTAAATCAATATTGGGATATAGTACACAAAAAAATATTCTCACTATACGTCCCCGCTGTGGGGCTCGAAGCCTAACCTATATTAGGGATGATAAGGCTATAGTCAACCACGTTGGCACAATGCGTGTTGACTTCACACATATCTTTGAAATTCTTCTCAGATATATGCAGATGTAAGAACGTCGGATAAATGTACATATGTAAATCGGAAATGGAAAAACACATTGGTACATGGCGGGATTCGAACCGAGGACCTGCAGATTGCAAGTCAAGTGCTTAAAACCCTAAGCCACTGACGCTCTAAATATTCATATATTAAAACCAAAATTATAGCTACAACTAATAACTTATTTATGTTATAAACATAACATCATAATTGTGTTATAAATAGTGATAAAATTACCTCCATATTAACTTTAAGCAAACAAAAAAAACTCTACCAAATCCGACTCTGGTGCCACCCTTACGTGGGCGACCCTTGCCAACAATCAAGGGACTATACCTATCCAATATCGAAGAATATATTCACGTTATATTTTGTTGTTGGGGGTTACCATAATTATCCCTCTATTATATTAAAACCTTTATTTAAGGGTTAAAAATAATCTATATAACAAATGCAAGAAGAGATAGAAATAAGAAATTTTACTTCCACCAAATTAATACTAACTAATCTTTGCTTAACACAAACAACTTGATTAATATTCATATTAATAATTAAACTATTATAAACTAGCTGTCGCCCGCGACTGTATCCGCGCGGATTTAAAAAAAAGTATTTAGTAGGCTATGTGTTCTTTCAGACTATGTTCTATATGTATGCCAAATTTCTACAAGATCCGTTCAGCCGTTCTGAACATCCATCTAAACATTCGCATTTATAATATTATTAGTAAGATACAAATTTTCGTATAAAAAAGTGAGTATTTTTCTAAGCTATAAGCCAAACCAAGGCCTTTGTTTTGTATTTCTTAAACAAATATTATTGGTAAAATTTGATTATAACGATCCTTATAAGAAAACGGAAAATCAATAAGATATAATATCTACTTAACTACTAACTACTTAAACTACTTAATAAATTATTCAATAAACTAAATATAAACGCCTGAGTCCGACCCTGTGCAATTCTAAATGAAAGGGGAAGGGGGAGGCTGAACTAAAATTGCTTTCGAATAAGTAACCAGCGCGGGTTTATTCTGTAAGCGTGATGCGATATCGTTGCTACATCGGGTATGAATCGTTTCCATGTACTTTACAAATTCACAAAATGATAATACTATTAGCTTTTAACAATTAAAAATCTAATAAAAAATTAACGTTTTTTTACATATAATCAGGTGGCAAACGAGCGAGCAGCCACATGAAATCGCTGAAATAGCGAAGTGACCGTTGCCCATAGACATATGCAATTGCATATGCGTTGCCTACCTTTAATCGACGGAGGAGAGGATGCACAGAAAGAAAATATTTTCCCATTCCATGCATCCTCTCATCCGGAAAGTCCACTTCCACTTTCCATCCTTTCCTTATAATATAAAAGGGTGTGAAGGGAAAGAGGACTAAATTTGGCCTCCGGGACACACACTCATCAGACTGTACGCGGAATTGCTTCCATTTCACGCCTATGTTCTGTGTGGTCGTGGTATTTCACCGGGCGAACCAATACGTACGAAGATGTTAAAGCTCGCTCTACCACTGTTAAAACTGTTGTCTGTCTTCATGGGATAGTGTAGCTTCTTAATAGTAAGAGAATTTTTAAAAACAGTCCAGTAATTTCGGAGCATATTCAATGCAATAAATAAACAAAAGATCTTATCTTTTCTCTTTATATTATTACTAGCTATCGCCTACGATTCTGCGCGGAATTAAATAATAAGTATCCTATGTGTTCTTCCAGAATATGTTCTATATGTATGACAGATTTCATCAAGATCTGTTCAGTCGTTCTGGAGATACCTTCTTACAAACATACATCTAAACATTCGCATTTATATTAGTAAGATTTAAATGATAGCTCATAATAATCCTGTTTCAATTTCTGTTGGCATTTTGTTAGAATGGTTTGTAAAGTAATTTCACCTAAGCCCCGATACGTATATACAAGTATTTGATTTGTCCGTCTGTTCATTTATTTAATAACTTTAATTGCCTCAACTTCGTATATTTTACAAAAGAATTTAATTAAATTTGTTTTTTTTTATATCATAAGATGACAAACGTCCAAGATGACACTTGCAGTGTGATAGAGCGAGACGGCATTATCACACCTCTCCTTTTATTTACTATAGTAACTTTACTTCTTACTAATATTATAAATGCGAATGTTTAGATGTTTGTTTGAAGATATCTCCAGAACAGCTACACAGATCTCGATTAAATTTGGCATACATATAGAACATAGTCTGAAAGAACACATAGGCTACTTATTATGTTTTTTTTTATCCGCGCGAACGGAGTCGCGTACGACAGCTAGGGATGAGATGAAAATTATTGCAAATAATTTAAGGTATTTAGCGATTTTGAGGTATAAAACAAATAAAATATCATTTCGTAAGAAAAACAATCATGTCGATGTCATATATCAAGCTGTCTCGCTCTATCACACGTCATCTTGTCAAAAAGGGCAAAGTAATTTTTCTTGATCCCTTTACCTTAACTTACTGTTTGCATTATTAGGCTTTTTTGGTAACTGAGTTGTCACTGTTTGCCTTGAAGAAGCATTTACAGCTTCACCGGGCTTGAGGCCGAGCGCAGATGGCGCTTAGCCTGAACCTCGTTTAAGAGTAACAAGACTCGAGGAGTCTCGGCTCGGGCTGTTACTTCGTTATTGTTACCGGATTGGGCATTACTAGTATTTTTCTTACATATTTCTCGTTTTTTTTATATCATAAGGTGGCAAACGAGCGAGGGGCCACCTGAAATCGCTGAAATAGCGAAGTGACCGTTGCTCATAGACATACGCAATTGCATATGCGTTGCCTACCTTCAATCGACAGAGGAAAGGATGTACAGAAAGAAAATATTTTCCCTTTCCATGCATCCTCTCATCCGGAAAGTCCACTTCCACTTCCCATCCTTTCCTTATAAGAAAAAGGGTGGGAAGCGAAAGAGGACTAAATTAGACTTCCGGGACGCACACTCATCAGCGTGTAGTTGGAATAGCTTCCACTTGACGCGTGTCTTCTGTGTGATCGTGGTACTTCACCAGGCGAGCTAATAAGTGCGAAGATGTTAAAGCTCGCTCTACCACTGTTAAAACAATAGTAATTAAAAAGAGACGTGCGACGCCGTCTCGCTCTATCACACGTCATCATCACAAAAAGCGCAAGTTTTATCACGAGTTTAAAAACCGTGGAGTCGTCCGTCCGATTTGTTTTAACAATTAAATACATATAATATTACACGTAACATTTATGTGTGAACACATTGTTGTGTGCGTCAACTCGGAACAAGGTGACTGTATACAGGTTGATTTATTATATTTAATGATTATTTTATTACTGGCGCATACGATACTGTTTGCACGGAATTAAAATAATTAGTAGTATAAGTGCTTTTCCAGACTTTTTTCTATTTGCCAAATATCTTAATGTATTCACAATATTATATATAGATATAATTTCCGTTTAATTTAACTTCTTATAATTGTGTTAAGGTCTGTTTTTGATTTATATTAATCTTATATATTGTTACTATATTTTGTATTAGCCCGCAAGCGATATTATATTTTACATTTATACTCATTGTAAGCGAAAGTTTGTGTTTTTTATGAGTAAATAAAGATGATAAACCGAATGTCTTAGAGATTCATTTATATTCATTACCATTTATAATATTAGAAAGAATTATCAAAATTAATATTCAAATATTAATCATATCTGTCTTGACAGATTTTAATTAATCTGGATTCTTTAAATTATTGTTGATTTAAATTACCCTGGTACGTTGAATTTATATCAAAGGTGCCAATAGCCTAATGGTTAAGAGTACAGATTTCCGATCACGTGGTCGAGTGTTCGAATCCATTCGACTAATGTAAACCATATTCTATCACAAGCCTAGTGCTAAATTATAATGGTACATAAAATATTAATAAATTAATAAAAATCTGGAATAGTCTGGAAGAACACATAGGCTACTAATTATGTTTTATTATAATACCACGAGGACGGAGTCGCGGGTGAGAGCTAGTATTTTAAATAAAAGAGACTACAACTGGGAAATATCCAAATCTCATAATAACATCTTTAATTTATTTTTGGCAAAATATTAAGGTACGATTATATTAAGCCACCTGTATAGTGTCGCATGGCACACATACGCAGCACGCACACACGCGCGCCGATAGCGGCGGATCTATGCAGTGCAACGCCCCCGGACTAAAGCCGAGTACACACTATATAAACGGATCAAAAACAAAGAATTAAAATAACTAAATAATTCGTATAAAAAGTAGTATTTTAATTGTCCGTGTCTTTTATCAGCGAAGC